CAGAGAGGGGGTGTCACTAATGACAAGCACGCCCCCTCTGGGGGGGGGGGCAGAGAGGGGGTGTCACTAATGACAAGCACGCCCCCTCTCACAGTGAGCATGTTGGTTCAATGCACAGAGCTCCGCTGAAGAGCTCCTGTGATGGAATTCCAGTATAATAAAAGTTTAGCAGGCCAAGATTGCCACGTGCTATATGTAGGTACATGTGTATGTTGTATCAGTTAGTTACATGTAGCTAGGATACTGTCATCAATGTACTGAGCATGTGCACGAATGCAGGAACTGGAATTACACGTCCCTCTCCTTTGTTTCAGATGAGCCACGTGGTTAGACCGGATGGATGAGTTTAGACGTAGCTAATTATGGGAGGAGCTACAGTGCTATATAAGGAATGTACTCTATGTATTCAGTACTCAGATCTTTGCTGTTTTTGGTGACATAAGTCCCTCTGAGTCCCGGTCGGTGAATCGAATAAAGATCTCTTCCTTCCTGAAGAAACCTGTGTCCATCTCTCTGTGCTTGGCCTCCGTCAGTTTCCCGGTAACACTCTGGCATTAGAAAAAGGCCCTAAATTTGTTCTGCGCAGCGCAAGCAAATTTAATAACATGCTTGCACTGTGTTTGCTTTTAAATTGTCTCTGGTGTCTCCACAAGTGGGATACCAGAGGACAAAAGGGCCAGGAAAGTGCATGGTGCATGTGTTTGGCGCCTTCTTGTGGGACTGCATGTGTGTAGAGAGTGGTGTGGTATTGTGTAAATAGGTCAATTTAATTTGTGTTTGTGGTGTAATATGTGTCGCTAGGGGCAGTGTGTGTGTGTAGGAGATCTAGTGTGTAAAGGACTCAGAGTGTGTATAGGAGATTGTGTGTGTGTGTGTGTGTAGGATTAAGAGTGCATATAGGGTAAGGGATCTAGCGTCTATCTGGAGCATAATGTGTGAGGGGTGCTGTAGTGTGTGTGTGTATATATATATATATATATATATATTTGGACGTATTGTATGTATGAGGGGTGCAGTGTGTGTGTGTGTGTAAGAGGGGTGTTCTAATCTGCCATCACATTCTAGGTTTCTAATTTTTTTGTCTGTTAACTCACTGACGGTTATTTTATTTATATATATATATATATATATATGTGTGTGTGTGTGCTGTATATGTGTGGGAGTGTGCTGTGTGTGGGTGCTGTGTGAGTGAGGGTGCTGTCTCTCTGAGGGTGCTGTGTGTGTATCTGAGTGCTGTGTGTGTCTGAGTGCCGTGTGTGTGTCTGAGGGTGCCGTGTGTGTCTGAGGGTGCTGTGTGTGAGTGTGAATTTATTTATTTAAATTTCAATATATTTTTTATTAATAATTTTTAAAAAGTTATATCCCCCCCTCCCTTCTTACCTTTAGCCTGGGAGGGGCGTTCTACCTTCAGGGGGGCGGTGCTGCCATCCTTCCCTGGTGGTCCAGTGGTGAGAGTGAACTCTAGCCTGCAGTTGCCGTGGCAACGCTCAGAATCCCGCGAGAGGAACCGGCGGAGCTGCTGGTTAGAGCTCCACCGGTCCTCTCCTGCCTCCCTCCCTCCCCAGCCTGCGGCCGCCGCTAACAGTGCCTGTGGGCCGGTGAGGGAGATCTTTGATCTCCCCACCGGCCCATGGAGGCACATAGCAGGGCCGGCGCTCAGGTAACGCTGGCCCTGCAGGGGCTGGCAGGGCCTGGGGGTTCCCCAAGTATAGCAGCAGATTGTAACATTAAAAGTAACTTGGATTATAGCTCTTTTCTCTGGAATGACAGGTGAATGAAACAATGCAATGCCCATAGAGTATAGTGTATATCAACTCTTTTGTAAGAAAATCTGAAAGACATAGCAAGTTAAACATAGCATCCCTCCTTAGACAACTTAGACTACAGCATTTAGCCTACTACAACAGCCCCTAACCCTCAATTGCAGCCCACACACCCTACTACAGCCCCTATCCCCCTAGTACAGACCCTACACCCTACTACAGTCCTTTAGTCCCCACTACAGCCACCATACTCTACTTTAACCCATAACCCCCTACTACAGCCCTGTAATGAACTACCCTTCTCCACTGGCTTTTGGAGAGGCCTTCTTGACAGTCTCTTGCCCTGTGACTATGGCCCTTGGGGGTGTATTGCCCTTTAAAAACTCTATTTGTGCCTATTGTATTTTGGAGCACTGTTTCTGCCCCTTTAAATTGTACTGGTACAATTCTACACTTTTGAAGTGGCACTTCGGATGCAGCTGAAGTGCGGAAGTAGTCAAAGTAGCCGCCATTCGACATACAAACACGTGTCGGCGGCCATTTTAATTCAGTCGAACGCGTTCAGCGGTGTTTGGTCGTCGAGTTCATGGAACTCAAATCGGATATGCGACGGCACGAACACCACTGAACTTTACCTTCTCCAGACTCCGACGCTTCGACTGGAGTCGAACACCGTTCGACAATTCGAACAGCACTTTAACATTGACGGTTTACACAAATGGTTGCCATTCGTCCAACTGAACTAAATCTGACTGTCTGCCTGTGTGTGTGTGTGGCTGTCTGCCTCTGTGTGTTTGTGTGGCTGCCTGCCTGTGTGTATGGCCGCCTGCTTCTGTGTGTGTATGGCCTCCTGCGTGCGTGCGTGTGTGTGTGTGTGTGTAACTGTCTGCCTCTGTGTGACTGTCTGCCTGT